TGTGCATGAATAAGAAAGTCATGTCTCAGACTAATCCAGGACTCACCCTGTTTAGAATTCAAGGCAGCTCTGGGGAATGTGGATCTTTTTTTTGTCTGTTTAGTAGCCGGGTTTATGGACCTTCTCTCAAGGGTAGTGCTGTCCAGCTAGTATGAGCACCTGAGGGGCCCTGTGCATCTGGGTTACTCGTGTGCTGAGACTTTGATTTCCCTCAGCCTTCAGACAGGCTGCATGGGGCCTGGGCTGCCCCAGCCTCAAGCAAGTAGATCCGTAGCCTCCTCTGTTTACCCTGGGGGCAGCGGGGTGGGGGGGGGCTTCAACACCTTTCCCTGCAAGGTACAAGGCACTAGGCTTTGTATATGATACAACCATCCTTTCAATCTCCTCTCTTTGCTTTCTATTGTCTACTCTCCTATACTCCAACCTCACAGTTTCCTGAACAGATTCTCATTCCATCTGCCCCTGGGCAGGTTTTTTTCCAGGTAGCGTAAGGGCCTGTCAGGGGCTATGCCTTGGCAGCTCAGATTCCCAGTAAGGCAAAACTAGCAATCTGCTGAATAAACCTAGCATTAAGCTGAGAAAAAGAGTGGATAAATGCATAGCCCATGGACAGACAATAGTTCAGGGAAGGCCTGGGGAGGGGGCAGGAGCAGGGTGGATGGGGGTCATTGAAGGGAAAAAGTGGGGACATCTGTAATACTTTCAATAATAAAGTTAAATTTTAAAAAAAGAATGGATAAAGCAAACAATTAATTTTCTCATTTTGGACTTTAAGAGAAGTTTCTGTACTGCAACAATACTGTGGAATATATATTCCATTTTATGAATCATGCCAATGTCTAACTTTTATACAAACTACATTCCAATTACATAACTGTCTAAACATAATCCATCAACCTAACAATTTTCTTTAACTGAATCTCAGATGCTGAGACATGTATTTAAATATATAAATTACTATATTTAATCAGTGATCGTAATACAGAGGTCTGAACCCTCAGCTAGTGTAAAAGTGAGTTTCTAGGTGCTACTTTCTTTCCAAATCCACAGAAAAAAAGGCATTGACTTTTACTTTACCAAGGTTGGGAGCAAATCCAAAGCACTTAAAGGATATTGTTTAACCTCACTCATTTAGCATGGACCAAGTAAAATGTCATCCATCTCATTAAACAGTTTTTAAAAGTATACATATTTTTTGTTGTAATTGAAATCTCAGTAATATATTTCTGATTAATACAAATAGAAAATGATTAGTTATAACTTAACTTATTCAGTTTTATATCCAAATATTTATGAGCATGGGGTCTCTAGTGGGCAGGAAATAATGAAAGGAATACTTGGTGGTAAGAAATGTAGAACAAAGCAGTTAAGTGAAATTTACTTGTGATTTACTATTAGTTATGCTATACTATTAAGTAAAAAAATATCTTACTCTTATAAGTTTAAGGTCTCTTTGATATCATAAAATTAAACTTAGTAGATTTCTGCAAGGTCAATGTTGTGGGCCTTACTTGGCTCCTGAGAAAGTATCAGTTGAGATAATCTTGAAAAGGTTTGGTTAGCACTTCTTGGGCTCTTGAGTATTTCATCTCTCAAATAAATGAGATGAGATCCTAAAGCATCCCTCAGACAGAGACTTCCTGGGTAGTGCAGTAGAACATTTGGTTTTTAAACAGGAAGAGACCAGCATCACTTGTTACTGTTGGCGGAGGGATCTAAAGAAGAGATTTAAAAAATAAATTTAACAAGTATCGAAATAGTGTTTACAAGGTACCAGGCTCTTCTAAACTCTTTAGAGGCATTAACTCATTTAATTTAATGCCCACAACAACCCTAATAGGTACCACTATTATCTTCTTTAGCTGATGGGGAAATAGAAGCACAGGGAGCTTAAGTAACCTTTGCCATCACTGGACTAGAGAGTGACTAAGATTCAGCCCCTGGCTGCCTGGCTTCGGAGGCTTGGCTGCCTGTGTGTGGCTGGTGATAAACAATGCTAACCTGTGCATCGGTTGAACTGGTTTTCTGGCACAGGCTTTACACCAAGGAGAACCAATCACTCTCAGCAAGTACCGTCGTGAACTTAGGAGAGATACCAAAGGCAGTCATCTATGCCAGCCAGGCACATCAATACATGGACTTCAGATTTAAAAAAATAAGATTAGTCATCAATTTCTAAGATGTTAACAGTTCCCTTTTAGTTTTATTGTAAACGTTCCTTTTAAAAATCCAATCTTGCCTGAGAAGAATTATCCATCACGAGGCCAGCATGGTTGTATTACTTTTGTAAACCACCAGTTGAACTGGTGCAAATAAACTGATGAAAAGTCAGCAGGGTTGGAGAGGGCAATACTAAAATTTTGCTTCCTCACCATTCATGGAGTTCTTTCACTTGCACAGGTGTTTTTTTTTTAAATCCTCACCGGAGGATATTTTTCCATTGCTTTTCAGAGAGAGAAAAGGGGATGGGGAGAGAGAAATATTGATGTGAGAGAGATACATCGATCAAGGTTGCCTCCACACGCCCTGACCAGGCCGGGGATAGAGCCTGCAACCAAGGTATGTGCCCTGGGCTGGAAATGAACCCAGGGCCCACACTCTAACCACTGAGCCATATCGGCTAGGGCTAGGTGTTTTTTGTGTGTTTTTTAACAAGTGAATTTTACCTTTTATTTAACACTGTATGTTTTAGATTCCCTGTAAGCACCTAAAAATGTTACAAAATAGTGTCATATATTTTCACATTATCAAATTAGCTAGAGAAGTTGAGTAACTTATAAGTACTCCAAAAAGCAAAATATTAAAAATTGAATTTGAATTAGTGATTTCATCTAGTCAACTCATGGGGTACAAATGAACCTCTTAGGTGCCAGACTTGAGCATTTTACAGTTATCCCGTTTAATTCCACAGCCTTGCAAGGTGGTATCACACCACCATCTGAGGGCTGAGAAAAGAGGCTTGCAGAGGGTAATATAGCTTGCCATAAGTTTCATAGTTAAAAAAAGGCCTTAGTGCAATTATAGGCTCAGGTGTTTCAGGCTCCACATAGCATAGCACTATCTCAGAGACAATCTAAGGCACGGATATCTTGCTAGGAAGGTACCAAATTTGCTGGCAATCAAACTTTGCCTTTTCATTTGGTTTGAAGCAAACCAAACTCGCTTCAGACCTACTGCATCTAGAAATACTGAACAAAATAATGGCAATAGGGAGCATCTACGTTACTAGCTGAAAAACAAACATCTGCACACACCTTGGAAAAATGTGATATAGCTAAGGATCCAGCATAATTTAGCTAGCAAAAAGGAGCAGCTTTTGAACAAAGGGTGGGCCACGGCCTAGACGGTGAATTAAAACAATTTGCCCATTAAAGCTCAAAGGCCTACAGGCTGCACGGGAGCCCTTTCCGCCCAGCTGAATGGGTATACAGCAGTGACAGTGGGACTACCCAGTTCTCACCTTCAGATGGGAAGGCAAGTCCATCTATCAGGGACATATATGGATCCAGATCACGTCGTGACAGTTCGTTTCCATAAGAAGTGCGGGAGGGGAGGTTTCATTAATCCAGGATGGGAAAAACACCTTGTTCCCGGAGCGTGTATTTTGGGAGGAAATTGCCCCATTGAAGTCACTTCCTCGAGATACCCCTTTCCCTTCAGGTATCGCATCCTTCATTACTGATCCCCAGGGTGGAGCTGAGCATCAGAGGCTCAAGACCAGCCTCTCAGCCCCAAATAGCGCAGCGAGCTCCGGGGTCCCCAGGCGAGCGGGGGCGGCGGTGACGCAGGAGGCGGTGGGGGCCCCGGTCCCGGCGCCTGGCGAGGGGGCCGATATTCCCGCGGTGCCGGCCAATCAGGAGGCGCGGTGTTTGGGAAGCGGGGTGGGCGGGGGGCCCCAGGTTTCCGCGGGTGCCGGCGCGGTGCAGCGCAGCGCAGCCCGCAGTTTCCAGCGAACGCGCGCAGCCCCCAGGGGTCTCCGGGCTCTCCCGCGCGTCCCGCTTTTCCTCCCCCGGCTCCCCGCCCCTGCAGAGCCGACAGCTCCGCCACCCACACGCGGCT